AGCATATACTATCAAGAGTGCCAAATTAAATATTTTAGAAAACATTTTGTAGAATATATTTTTCCTTCATTAGAAACTTTGAAACTTTTTGATATATAAGAACCTCACATTCTCGTACATATCGATTTTCAAATAAAACTAAATTCAATGTGTTTTTTTACCCCCTAGCTGAAAAGTAAAATGATTATGGTGAATTAATTAATTGAAAGAAATTAAGAGACAGATAACTGACAAAATGCAGGTGAATTTTTGGAAGGACGAGAGGTTGTCAGGTTGTGGGCTGACTTACTTACCAATTCTTTAGGTAATTTTCACTTTAATCATAATGTAATCATGTTTTAAGATTCCTATAAATAATGACATTTCTTTAATGTTTTAGTTTTGGACTTTTCTTCTTGAACTTTGGCGGCACTAGAATATTCCTCCTAATTTTTCGAGACTTCGTTATATTGTATAGTATTGTTCCCTTAACCAGATAATCAAGGTACGCGTTTATGTGTGAATATGCATGTATCCAAACAATGATAATATGATATATTTATTTAATCATGCAGATGAATCGCAGAGCTCCGTTGATTTGAATTTGATCGACCTAGTTTTGATAATAACAAACCTCGCTGTATACAGACAGCCCATACAGTTTAAATTTCAAAGAACTGTTAATTTGATTCGTACAGTCAATATTGTATTAGTTATTGTCAAAACTACAAACCTAGTTAACAAAAAACAGTGATGAAAGTTCGAATTTTTGGAGAATTTACGCTATATAATAAGTAAAAATATATGAGAAATTCAAATTAGATATTTTAAATTGAAATTACTTTTTTCATAATTAATGTGTTTGCATGATCGTTCGCATATTTCTAACCAAAGTTGTTATTGTAAAATATTTGCTAATAGTTAATATAAATAAACACATGATTTTTTTTCTAAATGGAAAATATTAGCTGAAAAACTGAATCGATTTTTTTTCAGAACAAAATGCATTAGCAGATTAATTTTTGTTTACGGGTTAATTGATTATTTTAGATTCCTGTAAAGAGAAAATCAAATAAAAATATCATTCATTAATAAGACAGATTTAGATCTAGAGGGTACACTGCCAATATACCACATGCTTTTGGTTCAAAAAAAGTTAACTAATCATATTTTACATATATACTCACACACATATCATAAATGGAAAACACTCTAAATAAGACACCACTAGATTGAAATGTTTGATCCTTTTTATAAATAAACAAAATGAGTTATTTTTAAGATATTAGACTTTACGAATCCTTTATGTAATGTGTGGCTGCTAACTTATGAAAAAAAAGCAACCAATTATTTTGCTAACAAGCAGGCAAATTGCGGTGAAGTTTGTCACTAGTTGAAGATTAAAAGCATAAGTACATGTATAAACATTTCATTTATATTTACACATGTTTATATGTAAATGTAGAATATTATTAGCATCGACCGTAAAGTCGTAACATGGATTCACACAAAACAACAGTAGCTAGAATCCATACTTATTCTTGGAGAAAAATAAACAAAAAAGTACCCAGGAATCACAATCTAGGAGATGTCTAAGCCATGGACTATTGTGAATACAATTATGGATACCTGTATAAACGTATGCGTATATAAATATAATGTAATAAACGACATTTCAAAGATGACAAATGATAGATCCATACCATAGCATAGAAACTTGGCGATATATGAAATTAAAAATAAAGACATAATGGAGATATGATTAGACTTAAAGTATACATATGTCACTTAGTGGATGATAATGGCCTTCTTGTTTTTATTCGGACTTGACCAATCCAATACATTTTCCGTCAAATTGATATCGACATTCACAAATCAAAATCGCTCAATTTATTTTATCGCTTTTAATCGTTCAGCGACCTTACCCTTGCTATTTTATTTTTTTTTGTTGATTTTCCCCCCAATATAAATGCACGTGAAAGTGTTACAATATGAGCAAAGTACAAACATAAGAACAACACTAAGAACTGAAGCACAAAGGTTAACTAACAATTGAAATTAAGGATAGTAAAGAATACTAATGAGCAATACTTAGAGCCCGAGTCCTCAATAGCCACATAAATAGGCAAATAGCACGAGCACAATTTTTCACCACAATCAGAACCAGGGCTAAGGGAAAGGTAGGCATATGCTAACACTCTTAACAGAGCGAAGGAGCCTTAGCCAAGACAACCCACAAAACTAAGAAGAGATGCATTGTTGTTTAACAAAGTGTTACAACATGACAAGTTATATATTGATTTTTTCAAGTTATATACACATTTAGAGAAAATCGTGAATGGCAAACTTATGGGAAAAATAAAAAAATGGTCACGTTCCAGTCCATGCAATTACATGTGGATATTGAAAATGCTTTTCAAAAGATTCTTTTTTTCATGGGTCATAAAAGTAATTAAAAGATAAAGTAACACTATCTAACCATTTTCCACAAAGTTGATTGAAACCGTCCATGAGTGCAAAGCGAGGAAAAGAGAGTAGTACCTTCGTTCAAAAAAGAGAGTAATACCTAAACATATATAGGACCAACTAGGCAACTACCAAGTAGATGTTAATTAGAGTAGTCGCGTAGAACACAATTAATTGAAACATATTTATCATAAAACATACCTAAACATAGGATCAAGAAAATTTAATCTGTAATATAGTTCAGTCGAGACTGATCAAACGTATGATTCTCATGACTCATGCTATCAAGACTTATACTAAAAAAAGTTGTGACTTCACAATTAATATCCTTTACGATGCAGCCAGTAGCATATATATATGGCCAGCTAAAAAAAGTATATTAAAAAAAAAATGAAATAACGAAATTTTGCTTGTATTGCAACGACACTTTTTTTTTTATAATGGGCACATTAAATTTTATGTAATTACCATAAATATAACTAATCAAGTCATATTATAAGAATATAATCTTCCCCATGATTTTGTTTGAGTGATCTACAACAAATCATTGGGTGATTAGAACATATGGCATTTAGATGTTACATATATTGATAAAGATTGGAAAACACTAGTAAGAATAGCTTACATTGCTACCAAACGGTCAAACTTGGCCCACCTTCATCCATAATTGTTTGCTGATTCATTCGAGCTTGTTTGAAAAGCATATTAAAAGTTGATGATAATTACTTAAAAGCGGTCTTTTCGTAGTAATATTATAGTAGTGACACAAATGTTATTGGCTTCATGATTGAAGGTAGGTCTTATCAAATATAGTTTTTTTTTTTTGGCAACCATCAAATATAGTTTAAATCAAATTTGTCACGGATTCGTATGATTTCTTAATAATTTATTTTTGAAGAGCCAGTATTTATTATTATAAAAATAATTAGCACTAACGTATATATATGCGTATGTACTAAATTTATGAATTGACAGAATCTGCACATATCTGTCAAGATATATCTTAGAAAAAAAAATATATCTTCTTGAATAGCCAGTATTTTTTCATTTTCTTACGCTTCCGAGGAAAACAAAAACCTTGCTTTTGTAGTATGGATAGAGTTCGAACTTCATACATAAGAGTTTAGTAGTTGTTAATCATTGAACAATCAAGTATATGAGAAAAACTTTAGACGTTAACTAACCTTTGTAGAGATTCAAGACTTGAATTTTGCACAAATTGTTTTTCAGCAATTGTCACTTGTGTCTTAGCCTACTTGTTCCTATAAACGAACATTACTTCAATTTTGATTTTAAACAGAAGGCAGTAGAATTGGACGGGACGGGATATAGATTTTTAGCTTATATTGGGCTCTTATTATTTGGACCAGTGTTAGGGACGCATACTACTCTATTATTAATCAATTAAAATGTCAATAATGGGCTGTGAAGGCCTAATCTTAAGTGTAGTATTATGTTTGTCAAGATTGTTGGCAAAACTAGCATGAGCATATTATCCATAATCCATATTCCAGAACCGAACTCGAATCTAAACCGAAAAATCTGAACCCGACCAATTATGAAGATCCATCAAAATATCCGATCGATTTTGATATGTTGATGCTTTGGTTAACGGATATAGGTTCGGTTTAATCCAGAACCCGAACTAGAATTCGAAATAATCGAAGTATATGTATTATGTAGATAAGTATATACATGTATTACATGAAGTCGATAATTTCCATTTTGTTATTTCCATTTGAGAGACACGTTTCTTAGTTCTAATCAGTTCATCTTATTTAACAAAGTTTGTGTTGCTACGATTATATATTATGTGAGTTTTCATATTTCACGTATTACTGTGATCAATTTGTAAATATTTGTCTAATGTTATCATTTAATAACATAGAAGACATGACAATTTTAATAATTTCTACATATTTATGAATCTTCATATCTTGTTCTACTTCGTTGGCGTCATAAAAACGAATATCAATAAATCAAATCTCAACAATTGCGATTCATAAATTTAAATTAAAGGTCTTATGTTTATTTTTATTTTTTTTGAATTTTAATTCAGTTAATCCGATACTGATATATGAAAACCTGAATCTAAATGATATGCAATAATTTCAGTATAATCTAAACCCAAACCGATGTGTTATATCCGATCCCGATCCAAATTTAAAAATTTATTAAAACGGGACCTATGAGATGTTACAAAAAAAAACAATATGTAATATATCTGATCCGAACCCGAACGGATATCCGAACGCCCATGCCTAGTCAAAACTGTTCAATAAAATTTAAATGGCAATGTTTTCACTAAGGTCAAAGTTTAACTTAATAAACTCATTTTTATAAGCATAAAGAGCTCACCGACTAAGAGATTCAACGAAAATTCATCTAATTAGAAGCTCACAAGATTGATTTTGATGATTGTTTACTCGGAGAAACCGTATGAGTCTTGGTTAAACCAAAGCAGAAACCGCTGATTTGATTTGGAAAAGCCAAAGTTTATGATGAGTTTTGACTTTTCAAAATTGGCTACTGGTTGGATACTATTCGACTTGTTAATTATTATACACAAAAACAGATTTCAAGAGCTGTTAATTACAAGAGAATTGGGTTTTGTTCTTTTATAAATTTGATGTGTTTCTTTATGATCAAACCAAACACATAACAATCAACTACAAATTCACATAGTTTGAAACATTGCCAAAAATATATTAACAAATAATGCAACAAGGAAAAAGACTAGGAGTATTAAATCATGAATCAAAGCCATAAAGCCCCAGCTTGTCTGAGAGTAGGCACTAAATCACCATTAATATGAGCAGCCATTAGATTCTCCAATCCTCCAAATAACTTTCCTCCTATGAACATGACTGGTAAGTTCTCTTTATTAATCACAGCTTTGCCCACTTCACTTAAAATGATATTGTCATCGTTGTTGTTTTCTTCATCAATCTCAATGATCAATGGATTCACGCCGTGTGTCAGTAGCAACTTTTTCACCACATGTCCCATACAACAACCTTTCCTCGCAAACACCACCACAGCATTCTCCATCACCAAAACGTTATAGCTTGATTTCTTAGTGCTTGAAGATGATGGGTTTTGTGTTGATGATGATGATGTTAACCATGGTAATGATGACGATGGTTTATCTTCATTCTTTGGACGGAAGATGCTGTTGCTCGATGTGGTCTTCGTCCACGATGAGTCGTGTGGTCTTATTGCTTTTTGCATAATTATTTTAGAGAGACAAGAGAGGAGAGAAAGAGAGAGAGTCTTGCTTAGTTGGGATGGATTGGTAAGAGGTTAGATTAAAGAATTTATATAGAGAATTTTAGAGAGCATTTCGTTTTGAGGTCAACGTAAACATGTGTAAATAGTATTCACATAATATCCTAAGCAACGTCACCGTATCTAAATTACATATCCATTACTGTACTTGTGATTATTCATTTATGTTGAGTGTAAATCATCCAAAAAGTTTAATAAACATTTAGTGTTAATTAACTTAGAAATGAAAGACAAGTTTGAACTCATTGTCGGAATTCAAATGCGACAACTCAATATTGTAAAGTATAAACATCATTATCTTAACGTAATGTTATTTCTAACATACTGTTATAATTAAAATCAATGACTTGCACGATATAGTTTATTTCTAAAACTAATTGATGACGCCGGCATAGTAATGGCTTACGACAAGGCTGATGTCAACAGATATATCTTTAGTTGTTTTAGACTTTTATGTCACAATTACAATTGTCTTCGCATGGTTACGCCAATGGATAAATGCAAATCATTGTATGGACCATTAGATTTTAAGATCATCTCTATTACATCATGACGATGACATTATTATTACTTTTATTTTCTTGAACAAAACTTATTTTCTTTAACATTAGGAAATAAGATAAAAATTCGTATATTATATTCTAGTTGAAACTTGAAAGAGATCATTAAACCTACGTAGAATAACTAAAAAAGCTTTTCTCTATAACAAATATTTATACATGGTAACAGTACATGTACATAATATAGATACTTTTCCACTGAAATCAAATAACTCAATAACTAAACTTCATTTTCAAGCCTTTGATAGGATTAGTTAACCTTGCATACAATCTGTTGATCAAAAAAAGAAACATTGCACGAACGTCACGAACTACACAAAAGCCAAGTTGATGACGTTGTAAATTGTGGAAAAATCTAACGACCCCCTTTCGTCAAAAGGAAACAGCTGATAAGAACGAGAGAAAATGATCGAAGATGGACCCTCACCTTGATAAAACCACATGACATTTCCCTTTAACTTTACAAAACAGCTAGCCTTGTTACAACGCGTGTAACTTTGAATCACTTGTTTACTCAAACAATATGGTCCAGCTAATTTGTTTTTTCAGGACATTAGTTGAATAATACACATGACATCATTAAGAAGAAGCCGTCGGTTATATACAAAGACATCAAATAAGAGTTTTACTTGGTCAAAATTTCAGATAAAATAGTCTTAATTTGACGTCATCGGAAAATTTGTGTGTTCGTCACCCCCATAAAACTACACACCGGGTAAAAGAAAGATAAAGACGTCTGTATCATGGTGGCGCCGGCATGGCGTCATGAAATACAAAGGGCCCATGTTGCTATGCTCATACAATCTTACAATACGTATGAATCTAATATTATATTCTATAATTCTCTCTATAGGTAGATAACGTTGATAAGTCATAACGAATAACAAATCTGAGGGTTATACATCTAAAAATGAGCATACGAATATGTTTGTTATTATTTTTTAAATCCACCTCCAGCAATTTTCCGGGAGAATATCAACAAAATCAGTTTCCATTGAACATGATGAACTACTAAATGACCAAAGCTAATCTGAGTCTCAATGTCTCCACTTATAGAGTTATAGCAAGTAGTTCCAGAATCTATCACGATAATAGTCATTTGGTCAAAACAGAACCATGTTTTGGAGGACAAGCGAGTGGAATCTTCTTTTACTTCTTGGAGCTAGGCTCCAAGTTCATCGCTTGGAGGTTAAGCAACAGATCATTGGAGCTTAGGTACACCTTGTTAGCGGACTGTGCAATGGTTTGAGCAATCTCTCTCGCAGCTTCAATCTTCCTCAGAGTTATGAATGCCTGATTGTTTGCAATAGCTTGTCCAATAAGTTGAGCACTTTTAGCTTCTCCCTGCACAAAGAATCAACACACGCACACGTAATGGTTTTAGCAGAGACACCTACTTGACCTATAATCTCTGTCATTAGATTCCAATTAAAGATCAAAAATCATTTACCTCCGCACGGATAACTGCACTTCTCTTGTCTTGCTCGGCTTTCTCCACAATGAACTTAGCACGTTCAGCTTCCTGAGCAGCGACTTGTTTTGCCTCGATTGCTGCGGTGAACTCTTTGCCAAATGTGAGAGTCGTGATGGAGACATCATCAAGAGCAATGTCGAAGTTAGAAGCTCTCTCTGTCAGAATCTTGCGTATCTCCCTGCTCACAGTCTAGAGGAGAGTACAAACAGTCTCTACCATTATGAGCAAAAGAAGTAGACTAAATTGTATAAGAAGAATGTTGAGTTACATACTTCTCTCTGAGTGATCAGCTGGCTTGCATTGTACTGAGCCACCACAGCCTTTAGAGTTTCATGGATGATGGAAGGAAGAACCCTTTCACTGTAATTCTCGCCTAGGGTTCGGTAAATCTGAGGCAAACGGTCACCCATAGGACGTGTGAGAACCCTGAGTCCAATTTTCACCTGTGCAACAACAAATAAAAATATCAGAAACGCAGCCACATCTTTAAGGAAAACAAAGACAGAGAAACTATGTTAGTTTCTGTTTTAGCTTAATGTGAACTCCTCCAAAAGAAAGTATGTTATTATTTTTTTGATAAAATATGAATATTATACCAAAAATGAAACAAGAGTACTTTACAAAAGCCTGAGAAGCAAGAAATTACATATGACACTCAACAAAGCAAATATGTTTTAAGTTCTCGACAAACAATGCAAAAGGAAAAGAAAAAGATATAACAGTAAGAGTTTTCTCCATTTCTTTTCAGGCCATTATCCATATACTCACACAGATCATATAAGGAAGATCTACATTCTTTATATAATACTATAACTCAATCAACAGCTCCATCGCCACATAAACTATAACCAAACTTAAAAAATGATCTTCATGCTGCATCTAAAAATCTCAAAATAAGCTCAAAAGAAGGAAAGCCTAGTATACACTATACACCATAGCTTCACATTAAGCAACAGCATTTAAAACTGAACAAAAGAAACAAAAGCAAAAAAGAAACACATAACGCACCATCTGAAGATCATGACTACCAGTGGTGCTCTCAACAAGGTAAGGTCGTGCACGGACGTCATAGATTATTGGCCTCTCAAACCATGGCAACATAAAATGCGTTCCTTCCGGGTAAACCTTAAAAAAAAAACAAATCCAAGAGTTAAAAACTCACAATTTTTTCAAAGCAACTATCCATAAGACTATTTATAAGTTGGGAGGAGAATACAAAACCTTTTCCTTGATACCAGTTAAACGGTTGAACATGACAGCACGATGTCCACCTTCAACATTGTAGAGACTATTAGTAATTGCATAGACACCGAGTCCACCGATAACGCTGACTTTAAGAAGCGCAGAGAGAGCTGGAGATCCAGGGACGTTGGGGACTTTGTTGAAACTCATTTTCTCTTAAGAGCTACAAACATTATAGAATCGATTAGTTCAGTAAATAATCCAAAGATTTAACAGAAAAGTCTAAAATCGATCATTTCGAATCAGTAACTATAGATCTCGTCGATGAAACGAGTAACAGATCCACGAGTTTTGATCGCATCAACATTCTATTTCTAAATCAAGCAAGGATTATCAAGCGATCAGGCACATTCGTAGACTTTTTTATAAACACAGTGAAAATTTGGAGATTCGGATGGAGGATCCAGAGAGAGAGAGATGAAGGTACCTTAGCTCAGCTCTTAATCACCGGCGAGAGGTAAGGGTTTAGGAAGGATCACGATCGGAGATAGTCGGCGAAGCTTAGGGTTTTAGAATTGTTAAAAATCACAAAGTGAGGATTGAACTCGTGATATATCACAAACTATCTTCTTGTTTATTTGGACCGAATTGCTTAGGCCCATTACTAAATTTATGCTTCAGTAGGCCCATTATGTGTGTCTTACTAAGTAAATCTGATTCATTAGGCCTATTATGTCACTAGTAACAGAAAAATATGCACATTGTCAGTGTTACTCTCACTGCGTTAGTTTTCATTTGGCAATTGAATTATCATTTTGTTTTTAAAGAGTGTAGCTCTCTTTGAATTCATTTTCTCCATTTTTATAAGCTTAATAGCATTACAAAACAACAGAGTTATATGGTCCATCGTCCAATACAACCTACTAATCTATAAGCTGTTCAAAACTAAATAATTTCATACAAACCAACAAAGAGTAAAATGGTCCATGTCTAGTAATCGCATGTGATTGCTATTATTTCGGATCTGAGGGACCAATAAAAGAATCAAAATCATATTCTATCCATTTTAATATCCCTTATATATTAAAAGAGAAGCATTTTGCATTAAATGTTTTCACACCACCTTCTCACAAATTATTACCTTATTTATTACCTTCTCACAATTTATTACCTTATTTACTACCTTTTCACAATATATTACCTTATTTATTTCAATTGTAAAACACACGAGATACTTTAAAACTACAAAGTTCAATATCGCATGAGACAAGTTCGAAGGCAAGTGAATTGGCTTAAGGGTCGATGTCAAAGTTCTGGAACGTCGTTATTTGGGAGGTGGGACGTATCTAAGATGATGGATGTGAAGGGCAACGTACCGGAGCCCATGAACGCGATCTTGGTTTGGACATGGCTCGTGTGTAGCGTGAAGAGATAGAACTCAACCTTGCTAAGTTTGAAGTAGTTAGTGTACTGAGGATAGATCTAAATGATGAAGTGTGTTGTCTTCGAGAGATCCCAAGGCCGTATAGTAGTGGTGCTCTGAAAACTCTATATCTTCACTACGTAGGTTGGTGAGATTGGTTCTGTAGTTTTGGAATTTTGGGCACAAGTTTTTAACGTCGATATTTGTATCCATAGGCAAGGACGTGGACATGAGCTATTGAACAAATTGTCGACATATATATGTGAAAGGTTTAAGGCTCTTGAGATTGCGTTATACAAGTCGAGAATTTGCTTCTCGAAATGAGCCTTTTGGCAACCCATCTCGAGACTAGAAGGAGATTT